TGGTTCTAGGACTAGACAACAGGAAATCGGTTACTGTCTAGTAAGGGTCTGAAAAGCTCAGTGGTAACGTCGCTGACTACAACATTAGGTGATGTACGTTTGAGTCTCAGAAGAGACATCGCTTACATCGAGGTTGCAGATACACCTTGCTGACGAAAGCCAACAAGCTCGAAACCTGTGTCCAGGGCTTCTTGCCAAATGGCAGAAACCAACCTAAGTGGCCATTGATAAAACCACGATTATGGGTAGTAACAGAGCAAAACTTTTGTTGATAAATACTTGAGCAAAATATCCGATGGCAGCAAAATATAATATCAGTGACTATGGACAATATACTGTGTCCGTAATCTAGTGAATAATAATACATCAGTATATAATGCAGCTAACCTCGCCTGGTTAACTAGTTCACTAGTTACCAGCCGGTCCTAAGCTCGGGTAAACAGGGAAGGTTGAGCATAGGGCTAGCAACCCTACCCCGGAAAACAAATCTAACCGCTAGAGAAACTTCGAAGCACAAAAGAAATATAAAAATAAAAACAAACTTATTCCTCACTGGAACCAAAGAGGCGAAATGACGCCAGTTGGTGAGAGCCTGCCTTCTGGAAGCCAATTGGCCGATGTGTCTTCTCTCCCTCGATGAAAGCGAAAGTAAACGTGGGGACATGGAATGTCCGAACCATGTTTGAACCCAGCAAGGCAGCCCAGATTGCAGACGAGATGAGAATATATCACATCGAAGTGCTTGGAATTCGCGAAAGCAGATGGAATGGGAGTGGACTATCCAAACTGTCAACTGGAGAATCAATAATCTACTCTGATATCGTCACCCAGACGACAACCACGAGCACACTGAGTTATGGAGTGGCTATCATGATGTCCACTTGAAGAGCATTGAAGGCTCACTGTCATGCAGTGGGAACCAATCTCCTCCTCCAGATTCAGGATCATGACAGCAAGATTCAACTCAAAAGGAAGGAAGGTCACAATCATACAATGCTACACTATGCACCTACAAATAATGCAGAGCAAGAGAAAAAGGAGGAATTCTACAGACAACTCCAATCAGCACTGGACAAGACACCACCTCAGTTGGCGATATCAAAATTCTAATGGGTGGAGTGACATGAATGCCAAACTGGGAGGGGACAACACAGGAAGAGAACAAACCATGGGTCGAGAGGCGCTCGGTGAGGTGATGAATGAGAATGGAGAATTGTTTGCAGAATTCTGTGCATTCAACGATTTGGTGATTGGAGGCTAGGCACTGTGTTCAAGCACAAGGATATCCACAAAGCGAGCGACATGGATTTCACCAGACACCAGGACATACCACACTAAAGATCAAATCAACTTTATCTCAATGTGAAGAAAATGGAGACGCAGTCAGCCTACTTGACACAAGGTCAAGAAGGGGAGCAGATGTAGGTTCACACCACTCACTGTCTAGTGCAAGGAACCTTCCAAACCAAGTTGAAAGCCTTCAAAGAAGCTGGTGACAGACCACAGATCAAGTACAACACTTGGAAACTGAATGACGAAACTACAGAGGGCATCTCCACGTCAGCCATAAAAACAAAATGGGAGATATCGAGGAACACTGAGAACAGACGCAGAGACAACAGCGGACATGCTCACACCACTATTGCAGAAGGTGTGGAAGGAAGAGAGGGTACCTACCCATTGATTGGAAGAAGGGTTACCTTGTCAAACTGCCGAAGAAGGGAGACCTCAGTGTTTGCAAGCACTGGCGCGGAATGACTCTCCTGTCCACCCAGAGCAAGTAAAATATTAGGCCGCATCATCCTGGAGAGGCTTAAGGATGCACTGGATTCAAAACAACCACCGGAACATGCTGGCTGGATTCAGGAAGTACAAATCATGTGCTAACCAAATTGCAACGCTTCGCATCATCATAGAACAGAGCATAGAATGGCAGTCAACTCTACACCTGAACTTTATCGACTTTGAGAAGGTCTTTGACAGCGTCGACAGAGAGGTAATTTGGAAACTGCTTTATTACTACGGAGTACCGCATACCTTTATCCGCCTCATTCAACAACTATATGAAGACGCCACATGCCGACCAAGTAATTCACAATGGACAGCTCAGCTCAGTGATGCTTTTGAAGTGAAGACAGGAGACAGAAGTGAAACAATGTTGTCTACTATCCCCCATGATATTCCTGATTGTGGTCGACTGGACTGGATCATGCAGTAAACAGTGGGGAGCTGTGAGAAGAGGGGGATACGCTGACTGGACTGCGGAAAAGAACCTAGGAGTTCTGGATTTCGCCGATGACTTGTGTCTGATGTCACACAAACTGGAAGATCTACAGGTGAAAACCAACAAGTTGTCAGAAGAGGCAGGGCAGCGAAGACGGGACTTCAAGAGAATATAGAGAAGACAGAAGTGATGAAGATACCTCACCAACCACTCCAACAACAACAAAAAACTCCAGTCACCATCAACGGGAGAAACTTAAAGGAAGTAACCTCCTTCATCTGTCTAGGAAGCACTGTTTCAACTACAGGCACCACAGGCAGGCACAGACGAGGATGTCAAAGTCAGCCAGGATCGGAAAAGCAAGACAGGTGTTCATTAGCCTGAAACCAGTGTGGAGATCTTCTGCACTCCACCCAGCATGTGGAACAACATCCGGATTTTCAACACCAATCCAGTCAAGTCAGTGCTTCTGTATGGCTCAGAGACTTGGAGCGTTACCAAAGGCATTTCCAATAAACTACAAACATTCATCAACAACTGCCGCCCACGCTCACTCGCTACTGAAGATCAGATGGATTGCCAGAATAGTAAGAGTAAGCAACATGGAGCTCTGGCCTGCCAACGAACCAACGAAGCAAGAAGCTATCGCTCAACAAATTTGCACTGGAAGGAAGTGGAGATGGATTAAACGGGGCATACACTGAGAAGGCCGACTGGGGACATCACGCGTCAGGCCAGTTGCTCGAGTGGAATCCCCATGGGAAGCGACGAGTTGGGCGTCCGTGGTGAGGGTGACATGGAGGAGATCGTGTGAGGAGGGAATGAGAGCTTGTGGGCTGTCTTGGAGCCAGGTTCAAAAGATTTCAGAGAAGAGACGTGCTAGTGAAGCCCTATGTTCCATTAGGAATCCAAGGGACTAATAATAATAATAATAATAATAATAATAATAATAATAATAATAATATAGTAATAATAATAATAATATAATATAATGCAGCTAATAAGTCAACTGAAATGGAATTACATTTCAACACAACCGTCAAGTTTTACGCTAATATTAATGAACAAACGAGATATACAGGAAGGGCATGTTATTAAGTCAAAGAATTGTCAATACGGCAAGGTAAGTCTAATTAATGTATCCTTCTGTATATACAGGTTAGTTTGAATTCCTTGGATTACAATCGATTCAGTAAAGCAAATAAGGGTTATATCCTGTTGCTTACTGTTTGTTTCAAAGGCAGTTGATATACCTTCGTTACATCTGGAATCAATTAGATATCAAGTGATTACACGTGTAAATACCTAAGATCTTTTTTCGAAAAAAATTCGGAATATGTTCGGAGAAGCAAATACAAGCCTGTCCTTGCAGTATATTTGCTTCAACGAGTATACGTGGATTTGTAAAGGTACCTGGAGATGAAATGATACGGTTAGCAATCTACTTTCGACTGAAAACAAGCATACACAGTGTTATGCACGGAAACGAGTTTAACTCCTGGAGAGATTCTAGCAACGATGAATCTCACTCGTTCTGGAATTTCATCTCCTTTAAAAGTCAACTGAGTGAAAGCTGAATTCCTATCTGTAGCGAAATCAATTATCTCTGTGTTGTCTATCGTATTCACTAGTTTTTTTGCTTATCCATGGCCGGACTAGAACTTTTCAGCAACATATGCTTATTAAACAAAATGCTTTTAATAATAAATGACCTGTCTAGATTTGTACCTGAAAAGTCAAAAAGTCGAAAGCCAGTTGGAAAGCCGTTGAAGAATTAAAAGTACTTTACAGGCACATTTTGTCCTAGTTTCGGACTCCTCAGAAGTGCAAACTCAGACCATGCGATGAATCAAGCTTAGGACTGTCACTTTTCATGGTCACTACAGTACCACAGGATTTCAGTATGGTCCACTGACTTCCGCTTCTCTCACTTCGTGATAAAGCGCTACCACTATCCCAGGTCACCAGCAGGCATCCACCTCACTCCAAACTTGGTGGATCTTAAGAGTCATGTCTTCGCATAAGAACTTCGAGAAATCCTTCTTGAGGCAAGTCTCTAGTGGAGACTGGATAACAATTCAGTTGCTGGTCCTTTGGGATTAATTAAAATGATCTTACCTTACCTGAAGGTATATGTTTATTGGTAATTCCGTCTCCAAATTTTGGACTGCCTGGGTAATCAGTGTATCTGGTTGGTGCGATCTTCAATGCATACCAGGTTGAATTTTGAAATCAACTTTAGATTTCTCATAATACCACTTTAGGAACAGTAGATTTTACTTCTCTATATTAGCCCTAGTATTTTGCTCCAAATGTATGTACACTTCCCGGTACACTATCGCCTTTCTTATTATCCCCGACACTGCTGATCCCCCTGTGCCAGACAGTGTAAATGTCAGGAGGCAACGCGAGGTGTAAAGCAGGATGTTGTATTGACAAACGAGCCGATAAAAATTTTAAATCAGTACAACTAAACAAATGTTCAGTTGTCAGGTGTTAAATATACCAATGAAATAATATGAAATAAATGCTATAACTTTATGTAAATTTCAATTAGCCCAAAGATACCATTAAATTGCATAAAATCTTTTGTTCGCACCATATGGAGCTGGAAATATGAACCTGAAATTTCTCATGGAAACGTATAATTGATAGAAGGTAAACAAGGCACTAGATAATTTCAAGTGATTTATGTGATAGATTTTTAACTACCTACGCATGGAAGCTTTTTTTGGTTGAAAATTATTGATTTTTCAAGGTCACTCTCAATAGATAGAAAACGTTCGTTTATACAATTGCTATTGGAAGACGGTCAGTCCACCAATCGTAAGACAAGGACAAATTAATGGCTGAATAAAGCATTTTGGAAAATATTAACACAGCAGATATGTGGCTGGAATAGCTCACATGAAGAACCCATCAGGAGCATACCATAGCAACCCAAATTCAAAGAGAAAGCATCCAAAACGATGTACCTTGGTCGTTTACCACATTAGCACTGTACTGCTTCTGATTGGCATTATTGTCACGATAATTGGATTAGCTACAACCAGACTGTTTCATGTATACATTTATGACCACCGTAATCCAGCCAAATTTCACCATGTACACATACCAGTGGGTTTATTTTCGATTAGTACACATGTTACATGGTTATCAATGCAAAAGTCTACTTTGCCGAATGATCTTGAAATTAATGGTAAGTTAATCTGTGTGTAACCTAAGCGGACCTTGTGCGCTATGCTGTATTAATTTGAGTGATTCAATTAAATTTCTGCTTGATGACCTTGGGGGCTTCCCAGTGCAGCTTTGATGCATAACAGAGATAAGGAATGAGGATGATGTTATGTGACTAAGGATATTTTGAACGAATAAGGGAAAGAAAGCAATCAACTTTTAATGTTATCGATTTATTGTTTTCTTGGTACTACAGTTTATACTCACGAGGAAGCTTACAGAAATTTTGAAATGGTAGAGTACTCTTACTCTCACTTAACAAGAAATCCTAGATCCATCTGCTGATATTTATTCAATTAACTTTAAAGAAATGTGATATATTGCAAAACCTCATTATTCGTATCATTGGCAGTAAATATCACAAGTGTTATAAGGTCTTGAGATATCTTAGTTGAGTATCATAAAAATTCGTCACTGGTCATTAAAAAAGCAACGTTTCCTTATCTTATTGAAGTGGTTCTTAACACAAATTGTTACTAAATAACCTTTGATAAAGAGTTGCTGTAGGTCGTTAGACTGGGTTAATTGCACTACTATGCAAACTTATTTCTAATAGCATTTAATTTATGAATAGTTGTTTCGATCTGTGGCTCCTTGATTTAGGAAGTCTAATTTCCGTTAGTGAGCCACAGGTTGGAATCCTGGTAAACCCTCTTAAATAATGACAGTCAGGTAGTATCATGCACCCTTATATAAATGAACTGACTTCCACTTAGTTGTAGGTTATTTTTTGAGATGGTCACTATGGGGATTTGACTTTCTGATTTATTGATATGTCGCGAATCTGAGAAATGAGACAATTTCTGCGAATTTGTCGTATATAAGCCAGGTTGAGCTTAACGGCAACAGTAAAAATATCAGTATCAACATACGACGAAGTATTGCTGCGTAACTGTCCAAGTCGCCGTACGTCATAACAACACAAGTAACAAAGTAGTAAGAGGAAAGATGTAGGAAGAAAGATCAAAAGCAATCGAAAGCAGTAACGAAGAGGACGGGGGATGTAAAAATTGCTGAATTCAGTATAACGATCTGGATGAAGATAAATTGTAGATACATCTGTGCCCCTGATATCAGCTCTGAACCACATCCCTTAAAGTCTCCAACCACTCGTTTCTGTTGTCACATGGTCTCAAACCGGCTAGTCTGCATCTCCTAATATGGCTGAAGAGCTTGCTTGAAGGTTATTGGTGTTTATTTTATTTAGACTCGGAGATCTTGCGTTTAGTAGTTCAAATCACTTATTCTCTTTTCTGTTTGACGCTGCTTCCTATAAGTTAGTGAATACAAGCAAGAAACCTGCGATCACTGAGTAGTGGTCCCAGTTCCCAAACTTTACATCATAAGATCAAGGTGGAAGTCACGGAGAAAAATAAAGAAATAAAGAGAGTAGTCAGTAGAAAGTCATAGGAAGGGACCAACATGGGGAAGAACAGTAATAGAATTCGCTACGACGACTAAGATAATGTATGGATACATTTGCTCTGCTGAGATCTACTTTGGGCCTACTTCTACGTAACAATTTCTACTTTTGAAAGTAGCGTTTGCTAGAAGAAACCGTACCTTATGTAATTCAGAACTAGGTAACAAGATAAATTTTTAAGGTTAGATACATGGGAACGTAGTGTTCTTTGTCAACCTGTACATAGTGTTGCAGCAGGGTATATTGTTTACGAAATAAACACACATTCTTAAGATAGTTTAAGCCAACTGCAAAGGATATCTGAAGAATTACTCTGTTTTGTTGCATTTTGGGATGCCCCAGAAACGAACAATTGGCCATTTCCGAGTTTAAATCACAGATACATGGATTCTAACTCTGTAAGAAGTAGCATGTACGTCTCAAGGTATACAAAAGTGTTCTTTCCAAGTGGATACACTCAAGTAGGTGGACTGTTGAGTAGTCTCAGTTTGTATCCAAACAACTGGTCTCCTTTTACTGTTTGTTTGCAGCAGAATCATTTCAATTTTGCCTTTATAAAAATGAAAGGTTCGTAAAATTACCTTTTTTTGTAAAGGCGAATAAACTAATTTTTACTACTATACAAAGATTTTGCATTCATATGAATGGGAAGGTATCTAGTTAAACGAAATTTTACTAAACTGTTTAAGTACATCCTCTAAGTGTCCAAAGTCCAGTTCAGTTTTCTTCTAATCACATACTTGCACTATTGAATAACATGCTTTTCATCTTCTTTTTGGTTATAAAACTATGCAGTGTTGGATGCCTTATAGAGTGCAGTTTGTACTTTTGATGCTTTACGAATATGTGATATCTGTCAACATTTTAACACCAATAACTCGTCATAGTATTGACTGCATCTTGTTGACAAGGGTCATTACTTCACCTGTATTTTCGACCATCACCAATTTGTCATGTCTCTGCCTCGTGTAGCTATTGTCTATACCATGTGATTTTTTCCGATTCACTTTTCCCTCTGATCTTGAGTGTGATTAATCTCCTATGTGCTTGCCACATCCTTACTGTTCAGTACACCCACACGATCATGCAGTTTGGTCCTCCTAACCTCGTACAACAAAACACAGTCTTTTGTTTATCGTCCATATATTTCCACAACCTGAATTATCTGTATATACAGCTGAATCCCCTGTCAGTGGATCACTACACTTCATAAGAATGAAACAACTAATTTCAGGTATAAAAATAAGATACAATAACTGACTTCACTCAACATCCAATTACTTGAGAATCGTAAGTCTCACAGAAATTGATGAAGGATCAGTAGAAAATCTTTTGAGTCCAGTTATTTAACAATAGTGTCTGATAAATCTTCAGTAAATTACTTTTTAAAGATAAATGAAATAATGGTACTGATACTACATATCTGAGATTCATGTTCTCCATTTTCCGGCTGATATAGAAATTAGCACTAATCTTCCTTATTTTTCTGGGGATTTGAGTGAAAATAGATTCTATTCATTGTAAGCACCACAGAAATTTCGTTTATTTCAATTCATAAATGAATGAGATGCATAATGAATGTAAAACAACAAATTTGTCTGAACTAAAGTTTCATGATTTAGTGTGAATACCTTTATCAAAGTTACATTCATTGGGAAATACAAATACCAAAATAAAGAATACCACTTATTCAGTGCCAAATTTTTTTTAAGCCGTGGAGTACCAAACTTGGTTCGGTTATCTATCTATAAAGTTATTCGCTACAAGGTTTTTTAAATTCAAAATACTTTGTGGGTGATTTTAGTGGAATTGTTTGCGGATACAGATAACACTTGTATGAAAATTGTCTTAGTTTAATACGAACATACTATTTCTTCAGTTCATAAATTTGGTGACTATGTGCATAACTTATGTGAGGAGTGAAGTTAGCTGGCTGACTGTCTGTACTGCGACAAAAGAATTAGTCCATTTTTTGATGTCAAGTAATGTCAATGATAAGGTTACATTCCCTGTTGACTTTGCTCTGGAAATTAAACTATACACAATCTAAACTCGGTTTTTTTTTTACTCTTGATTAGCTAAGATGTGTGGTAATCGTACATCTCATCCTTAAAAATCGACCAAAAAATTGTTTTACTCTAGACTATTGATTATATCCGAAATTGTATATTTGCATTTAGTACAGTTATTGATTTTGCATTCACTTATCTTTGTGTGAAGTTATGTGAAATGCAAAAGAGTATCAGGTTATAGTATGGTACCAATTCTCACCAGTAATGTTGAACATTTGGATCTTGTGCAATCGTCAATGAAAGTTTAGAGGATAGTGACACGAAGAAAAAGAACCGAGATCCCATAACTCAGCATTCATTCGTCAAGCACTAGTCAACGTATCACCCTTGTTTGTAATCTTGATCATATTTCGCTGTTTAAGAAGTTGAATTGAGTCACTCAAAAGCAATACTGTATTGTACTATGGTTTATTTTATGCTTTCGACAGTAGGGTCCATTGTTAACCATTGTTGTAGATAACAATATGAAGAGAACGAACACTTTAAAACATGACAAAACTTATCGAATTTAAATGTTTGGCGTATTTTTCCCATCTTCATTCTCTGATTAGTGCATCCAGTAAGTTAAACAATTTCTCTTAAAGGTGCATCAGAAGGCATCTGGTAGTTACTTTCAATTTGAGTGGAAATTTGAGAATGTTTGGGATGCGATTTTCACCACCCAAATGCAAATTTTTGCTCCAGGACTGGTCTTCAGCGGTACCGCGGTTAACAATAGAGAGTGAAGTGGTTGAGTGTGTTGACCACTTCACTTACCTGGGAAGTAGGATCGACCCTGGTGGGTTAGTTGGGGATGAAATCTCTGCACGGATACAAAAGGCTCGATTGGCTTTTGCCAATTCGCGCGACCTATGGCACCGCCGTGATATTCGTTTGTCTATTAAGGGTCGCGTGTATTGCACAGCAGTCCGCTCTGTTCTACTATATGGCTGTGAAACATGGCCATTGAAAGTGGAGGATATGAGAAGGCTTCAGGTGTTTGACCACCATTGCCTTCGTAGTATAGGACGTATTCCGTGGTGTCACCATGTGAGTAATGCAGAAGTTAGGTGTAGAGTTTTGGGGAGAAGAGGTAAGTCAGTCGACGAGGTTGTGAACCTTCATCGACTGAGATGGTTGGGACACGAGTTAAGTATGCCTAGTCACCGATTGCCTCGTCACACAATGTTGGCTGAGGTGGGTCCAGACTAGAAAAAGGCCCGAGGTGGCCAGACTAAAACATGGCACCAATGTATGAAGTCTCTGACTGTTGGTTTAAGCCATGTAGGACGATGCAGACTAGGTGGTTGGGGTCCACGGGACAAGAGGAACCAGTGGTTGGAGACCCTAGTTGATATGGCTGAGAACCAATGTCAGTGGCGCAGATGTATACACACATTATCCTCATCTTAACAACGCTATACCGAATCTCACTATTTTGTCACTCCTCTTTCCTTTCTTCTCGTACTTTATATTTCTTTTGACTGC